AGTAGTTACTTGGACTTCAATTGTAACAGTAATGTCTGTTTATTGTGATAGGCAGTAGATACACAGTGTCTTATTATTCTTATAGCTCTATTGTTTGATTTTTGATGAGTACCTAAAAATATAATTAGCAAATATAATTACCCTCCTGCATTCTCCAACTCATGCATTCATATGAAAATGGGTTGGTTGAGTCATTTTGCATGGGCGATTTTAAAATTTAATGGTAGCTATGGGAACAAGGGTCACAAAATTTCTAGGTTCCATTGTCAGGGGTACGTTGTTCCTTGCTATTGATCAGCCAGAAGCACTGATAGCCATATGAGAGGATGCAAGATTGAAAACTATCAATACAGGGGAAATGAGAGCTTGACAGCTGTACTTTAATGAAAAATGTTATGGGATGGATATCAGAATTTAAAAAATGACACCCAATATTTGCAGGCACTAATTAACTGTGTACTCCAAGTCTCTTGGCTGTCATGTAGTCTCAGAAGAGAGATTGTTTATAATTATCATAAACCACATATTTTTGCAACTTTGTAACCCTGAACCAGTAATTTATCAGTTAGTCAACCAGTATTAATTAAGTTCTTGTAAATTGTGTGGTTGGTTACTGACCACTCAGGAAATTCTTTTCAAATAATAGGCTCCACTCTAGAGGAACTAATATTATAGTATTTTAATTATAATTGCTTATGTTCAATCCTATGGCATAGCTAACCTGAGACTTAATTATCTACAGAGAGAACTGAGAGTCAGAGGATAAAAATGAAGAAATGCAGATGGTAATTGAAGTGAGGACACATATTCAGAAAAGGTCAGTGTGAAAAGAATGGACACTCATCAAAAGTTATGGGTCTACCTTGTTTAACACAAATCAAGAAAATTATTGTGGGAAATAGAGGGCAATCAGATAAATAATCAATTAATAAACTATAAGATAGATATATAAATTGATTCCCTAAGTCTCAAAGTTTAGATATTCATGTAAAATCTGTCAAAATATTTTCTGTGAATGAAAATATTTATTCACTGTATATAATAATCAAAATGTCCAAGAAACAACTTTTAATTGTCTTATGCACCTGATCAAATAATTAAATTATTCATCATCAGGATAAATCATTTATGAAAACTTGACTAAATAATGTACAACTGAAAAACTATTAACAAATTGACAGGAAAAGTTACAAGGTAAATATTCTGAGAAAATTTGATAAATATTTTGGGGAAAAAGAAATTGATTTCAATTGCATTGACAATTTTATTGACAAAAATAAAATATAAAAATAAGAGATAATCTAATGTCCTAAGTGCTTAAAACATCTATAATTTAAAAAATTCTAAAAACAAAAATCTAGGAAAAGGGGCCTGAGTTGTGGTACAACAGATTAAGCCACTGTCTGTGATACCAGTATCCCATATCAGAGTGCTGGTTCCAGTCCTGGATACTCTGTTGTGATCTAACTTCCACCTAATTCACTTGGGAAAACACAGAAGTTGGCTCAAGCACTTGGGTTCCTGCCACCCATGTGGGAGACCTGGTTGGAGTTTCTGGCTCCTGTCTTCAGATCTAGCTGTTATAGCCATTTAGGGGGGAAATCAGCAGATGGAATCTCTCTCTCTCTCTCCCTCTCTCTCTCTCCCTCTCTCTCTCTCCTTCCCTCCCTCCCTCCCTCTCCCTCTCTCTCTGTTTGTCCCTCTTATTGTTCTTTAAATGAATAAATAAACCTTTGAAATTTTTTAAAACTCTATGGAAAATGTTTATAGCACATAAGGTATCTTGATGCACAAAATGTTCATTAGAAAAAAAGGAAACTGGGGACTGTGGCGTAGTGGGTAACGCTACCATCTGCAGTGCTGGCATCCCATATGAGCTCTGGTTCAAGTCCCAGCTGCTCTACTTCCAACCAAACTCCCTGCTAATGCACCTGGGAAAGCAGTGGAAGACGGTCCAAGTCCTTGGATCCCTGCACCCAAGTGGGAGACCCAGAAGAAACTCCTGGCTCTGGCTTCAGATTGGCCCAACTCCAGCTGTTTGGCCATCCGGAAAGTGAATCCACGGATGGAAGATTTCTCTATCTCTGCCTCTCTGCCTCTGCCTATCAAATAAATAAATCTTTACCAAAAAAAATAAATAAAGACAAGAAACTTTTTAAAAAAAGAAAACGAGGACAATGAATAGTAACAAACTTCAATAAAATATAATATGGACATACAAAATTGAATACATTAGTAAGCATGGGTATTCCATTCAATGTAGAAGGAGTCATATTTTCGTATGTATTATATAATTTAAAAAATAATTTATTTTAGGGTGTTTTTACTCTTATTAATTGACATAATTTTTATTCCTCATTCTACTGAGCTTCCATGTAATTTACTAAAACTTCTATATTTATCTAATAGAGATTTCATTACCAAGCCAACATAACAATAAGAGAGTATAAGAAATTGATCTTCTTTCTTTGACTTCCATCTGATCATCAGAGCCACAATAGAAATCCAATTATTAAGGAAGATGAACATTTATTTAATGCAGGAACATAAGAGTATAAGGCATGAGAACTTATGCCAGGCTTATGTGTAGTATTCAGGTTCAAGGTAGAGGATTTATAAGAATTGGTATACTTACTGAACCAACAAAGAAAACAAAGTGAGATTTGCACATAAGATAAAGATTATACAATGAATGATATGAAGAATATGAGTCCCCAAACTTTGTCCACTACTGGGAGACACTAAAGTGTTGTCAGCACTTTTTACAAGGGAGACTCCTGGATTAGAAGCCATCGAGGCTGGTGTTGAGCGAGGGTCAATCATCAGTCAGATACGAATCCTAGTTTTCTTAAAGCAATGGTACTTTTTTCCAGGCCACATATTTATCATCTAGTTTATTTTGTATTTTATCTCTTGACGTGTTATCAAACTTTAAAAATGGAGGTTTCAGTGTAATAAGCCTTATAAATGAATGCACAAGACAAATAAGTGGAAAGATATCCATATTCATGTATTGGAAAAATTAATATTGTTTAAAGTTCACACTAGTCAAGTAATAAAAATCTCCAAATTTGTTTGGGATCATGAAAGATTCCACATCACCACCAACACAGTGGTGAGGAAAAAAAAGCAAGAGGCTTTGTTGCCTTACTTCCAAATTTACTACAAAATTGTTATAAAGAAGGCAGTCTTGCACTGGGGTAAAAACAATGACATTTGTCATTTTATCCCAATTGAATGGGATAAAAAAAACCACAGAAATTCATACTCAAAACTCATAAACTTATCGTCAATTGATTTCTGAAAAATGTGCCAAGACCCACAATGAGGAAAGCATAACTTATTCAATAAATAGTGCTGGGATAAGTGGTATACTCATACATAAAATGAAAATGGGCCCTTATATCACCTGATGTACAAGAATCAACTCAGAATGGATTAAAGATTTAAATGTAAGACTCAAACCTGTAAAACTACTAGAAGAAAATATAAGAGAAAACTCCAGAACACTGGTCTTGGCAATGATTTCTTAGAATGGCCTGAATAGAACAGGCAACACAAACAGAAATATGCAAATAGGATTGTATCAAATTAAAAAGCTTCTGCATAGGAAAGTTAACAACTGACAGAGTGAAGAAACAGCCCACACACTGGGAGGAAATGTTGCCAAATCATACATCTAACAAGGGAAATATATCTAATACACACAAGAACTCAAAAACTGAATAAGAAAATAGTAAACAAACCTATTTTTTTAAAAAATGTGCAAAGGTCCTGAATAGACATTTCTTAAAAGATATACAAATGGGTCATATATCTGAAAAAAGTTCAGCATTATTAATCATCAGGGAAATACAAATTAGAACCATGATGAGAAAATACCTCACACCTGTTGAAATAGTTATTATCAAAAAGAAAATAAAAGATATCAAGTGTTGGCAAGGATACAGAGAAAAGACAGAACACTTATGCATCTTAGTGGTGATGTAAATTAATACATGTCATAGGCATTTCATAAGGCACTGTGGAAATTCCTAAAACTAAAATAGTATTATCACGTGATCCAGTCATCCCAATTCTGAGTATATATTCAAATCAGTAGGTTGAAGTACTATCTGCACTCTTAAGAAGACATATCAGACTTGCATTTGGATATGAGTGTAAGTCCATTAATGCTTTGGAAATGCACATCACTAGCATTCTCAAAAGTGGTTGGTCTATAAGAAATGCATGAATGAGAAGAGTCCTTACAGTCATTTTTTCCTTTATTGTCTTCTACATTGCCACTCTGGCAAAGGGTATCAACAATCAGACTGATAGGAAATCTCACCACAATTCTGCCTGATTTATCATGCACACTTTCCTTTGCGAGAAGCGGAAAAGTACCAAGGGCATTGTCCCCTGGTGTCCCTCCCTGATTCTTGCTGATCCAAAAGATTAGGAGCTGTGAGAAACAGTACAATAATTACATGGTTTAAAAGAAGATATCACAACATAAGAAGCAGACAAGACTTACTTTGGATAACCCTTGATTCATATAATCAAGAGCTACCGAATTGTACAGATTTTTTTCTTATCTTTAACTCCAGGTAAAACAATTTTCATTTTTTTCCTTGTACATCTCAAAACAACCAGCCTTCAGCAGTACAGTAGCCTTTACTCATCATTCATGATAATTTACCCTAATCTAGTAATCACAATATTTTCTAATTTTGGGACAGTTTTGAAATTAGTCATCACCATAATCCTTCTATTTGCTTAGCCATAGAATTTCGCAATATTCATAATCAAGGAGTGGCTTTGTATGCTTTTAAGAAGTGAAAATTAAATCCTTAACCTATGAGAAATCAGATTGAAACAATTTTAAGTAAGTTGCTTGAAATAAGGAGGGCAGGAGCTTATACCTGCTCATAATTCTGGAGTTATTCCTACAGATGAGATTATATTCTCTGTGCCATTTATGAAGGGAGCACATATTTCCTTTTCTCAACCTATCATAAGTTGTACAATTCAGATTGAATAGAAACTTTTCTGCAGTTTTCATAGTCCACATTTAATAAACACACAATTATTAACATAGCATAAACATAGGATTTCTTCACTTCTAACCCATAAATTCAGTAACAGTTTTGGAGTTGTGCTTGCAATACCAGCTTTCTTAGTATGAATGGAAAACAACGGCGGTATACTCTGGATACTGAACAAAACGAGGCTGAGCTTGTGAGTATGGTAAATACCTTTTCATTGTTTTCATGTCTAATTTGTTGCTATTGACCTCTGACATTTAACCCTTCAAGACAAGAAAGTTGCATTTGGTATGATATTTGTTATAACAGAATGAATGGAATCTTGAATGTCATAAGTAATCATAAGGTTGAAGGAATTGTTTAATATATAAAATAGTGCTTTCACATCACTTAAGGGCCATGTGTTAGACTTGTGGTTTAAATTTTGATATTTCAGAAACCTACTGTAAGGTACAACTAGACAAAATGTTGGTAGATGATTTGAAATGTCATGTTTATAGCAAATATTAAAAATACTACTTTTTTATGTATTTGAGTCAAACGAAAATGTTTATGATAGTTTGTTCCTCAGTAACTGTGGCCTACTTATATGAACAAAATATCCCAAAGTGGGGGAACTTGTGCTTATAATGTGTTATTCTACCAAAATACAAATACATATTTTAGGACCCTAATGACACAGTTGTAAAGGTCACAATTCTCATTCAGATGAATTACTTCATTTTACACATGAGTAATTTAGAATATTAGGAGCCTACATAGCTGGTAGCCAAGTCAGAAACTGGATGCAGGTTTCTCATGTATAATCTTCTTGTTATAAAAAATTATTTTTCCAAAGTCTTGATTATATGCTTTTAGCAAAGAAAAATAAATTCTATGATTAACTCGAGGTTATAGACAAAATAAAACAAACAGGATTTTATATAAGAATTATTTTCCAACTTGAAGTTTGTATCTCTGGTCAGTTTGAAGATTCAGTAACTAGACTACAACCACTTCATTTATATCTGTTTCATATTCCATGAAAGCTACAAAAAGTCCTTATTTTAATGACATATGTCCATCGTCATATTTACTTCTCTTTTTGCTAATGTATTAGCTATCATTTATGGTGTTTGCCTACAAAAACAAAATATTTGTGGATTCAGTACAATAAGTATAATAATAAGTTAATTATGCTAAACAGTAAGATGAACTTCTGAGATTATAAAGAAAAGGAAAGGAATGATAAGATCTTCCCATTTTTTAGTAACCTGACAACCTATAATCTCTGTTTATCTCCCAAAACTAGGTGCAGATTTCCTTTGTGCAAATATCAGATGAATGTTATGTGCTATTTTAGAACACTTGGAAAATATGGAAAAATGCATAGAATAAAAACACTCATCATCTTGTCCAGAGAAAATTCCTGCTAATATCCATCTGTACCACATGTAATATAATTTTAGCCTTTGGGTTACTTTATTTTGCCATATGAAGTTCTTATCTAATTACCTAAGCTTTTCCTCCAAAATGTCTGTGAGAATCTTAATTAGAAGTTAGGGAATTGATAGATTATAATACTGAAATTTTTATGAGAATATTTATCCAAGTTCCCTTTTTGTTGTTCTGAAAAGTTGTATTATTTTCTTTATACAAGTCCTGTGACATGTATATACTTTATTACTACTGCAAAGCAATACGCATGCCCATACACACACACAAAACATCTGCTGTTATATGTTCGTTGATAATTTTATAACTTGCCAACTTAATGAATTATTGTTTTCTTTTTCTTTTTTTTTTTGACAGATAGAGTTAGACAGTAAGAGAGAGACAGAGAGAAAGGTCTTCTTTCCATTAGTCCCAAATGGCTGCTGCAGCTGGCGCTGCACTGATCCAAAGCCAGGAGCCAGGTGCTTCTTCCTGGTCTCCCATATGGGTGCAGGCGCCCAAGCACTTGGGCCATCCTCCCCTGCTTCCTGGGCCACAGCAGAGAGCCGGACTGGAAGAGGAGCAACCGCGACTAGAACCCGGTGCCCATATGGGATGCCGGCACTGCAGGCAGAGGATTAGCCTAGTGAGCCACGGCGCCGGCCCCGAGTTATTGTTTTCAATAGATAATATGGTTGATTCTTAGTTTCTGACGGTACACTATAGTATAACTTGCATTTAATAATAATTTTGTCTTCATATTTTCGTTGTTCATACGTACAATAACACTTCAAAAAGTTAGTGAAAAACTGGACTTGTAAGTTCATTTTGGTACAAAACCTTTTTGAAAACCATGCATAAATTTTTCATCATAGACATTTTCCATAAGCATTTTGAATATACCTTAGATGCATAGAATTCAAAATGTTCACACCAAAAGTATTTTAATTTCATTTCCATGATCTTTTGAAGTAGCCTGCTATTATCCAATAATGATTATAGGAGAAATTCTTCACTCTTTCTGTGTGTAACAACTTATTTTTGTGCTGTATATAATGTTGGTCTTCCTTCTGAAGTAAACATTCTTTACAGGAATTATTCATTTACTTTTATTGAGGTTTATTTTGTTTTGTTTTGTTTTTTTTTTTTGCTTTTGAATGCTGAAATACATTAAATGATACTTGGGTAACCATTAAGATGATTATTTTATTTTCCATATTGGATCATTTCATATGAAAATTATAATGTATAGTTCATATCATTAAACCATTATTACAGTTGCAAATTCTCCTAGAATTTGATTACTTCTTTGTTTTATGTGTACTGGATTTACATTATTTTATATTCTTATGTTCCTGCATAAGATAAATGTTCATCATCCTTAATAATTGGATTTCTATTGTTTATTTATTTATCTACTTATTTCACTTCAGTTACCCAGAAATCCATACAGCTCAAATGGAGGGACACACTGTGGTTGCAGAGTGACAATCCAGCCACAATTGGTAAGGTTTGGGGACAGAGCAGGGGAAGGGATGGCTTTCATTCTTTGAAATAATGGTGGAAATAGGCCAGGCGCATCTTCTCCGTCAACCCCTCTGCAGGGCTTGAGTTGCTACCATGTGATCGCTAACCTGGGACCCAAGATCCCTAACAGTGCATCAGTTCTGGATTCTATTCCTTGAAGATTCTTTCTACTCCACAACAGAGCTAATTGCTTTTTTCTGTTTTGATATATTTTTCAAACTCAATTAAATTCCCTTGATTTGTGTTTAATGGATAAAACGTATTTAATAAAAACTGTTCCAATTACAAACTTTCAACTTGTAATTCAAAAATTGAAATAACATAATGAGCAAAACAAAACCAAACCCTGACATTTTCCATTACCCAAATATGACCAATCTAAATGTCTTGATATGCCTTCCCATTATTTTTCTACCCACTTACACTAGTTAGATAATTTAATTTATATTGAGATGTTAGTAGCTGATAATAACTTAATGTAATATATTCCCGAGGCAATCTATTTATATTCAAAAATGAAGACTTCTTGTGGTATAAGAGGATAACAAAGGAGATATTTTGTCCCCAAGATGCATATGCATCTTTGTGTCTACATGTCCTGAACATCCACACTCTTGTGTTTGTATATGTGGGTGTGTGTATGAGAGAGTTAGAGAGAGAGAGAGAATGCGAAAGAGAAGGAAACAGCTGAAAACTTTGTTTTAAATAACAGCATTTGAATTAATAAAAAATGTTATTTTTATTGCAATTGAAAACAGTTACCTAAGTCACTACAATGGAATGTGATGAAGCATCCTCTTTTTATAAATCTTTTCAGGTTACAGAAAATCCGTGGTCACTCTTGAAAACATTCCTAGTGTGTCTGTTGGCCTGTCTAATCTCCACAACACTTGTGGTTCTTGTAGTGTATTTTGTCCACTTCGGCAGGCCCACCAGCAACACCACCATCATCATTCAGCCAGATGGGAAGTCCAGTCAAGTGACTTTCACCCCTGCTTCTACCCCATCTGCTGCCTCCTCACCTCCACCTGCTGCTTCTACCCCATCTGCTGCCTCCTCACCTCCACCTGGGTCTCAGAGCACCCCGCCTTCTACTCCCGTGACCAGCCAGAGCTCCTCTACCACCGCAGCCCCATCTACCCTGGAGTCAACTAAAACCACAACAGTGGACCACGAAGTTATCATTGACTATGACAAATGACATGTTTGCACAGTCACCCTGCTCAAGCCGGTCAATGCCCTCACCCTGAAGAAGACACGCCCAAACGTCTCTCTTCCCTGTCCTGACATTCTAAAGAATTTGGCTTTGTGAGATATTGCCCATTCTGCTCAGTTCTTTGCTTGTTCCCCGTAGGATGATGACTCAGTCTTGCGCACGGTAATGTTCAAATAATTGGAACAGAAAAAATTCAGTGGAGCCTGGGAGACTGATCAAAGCTAAGGCACAAAGTATTCTCTTCCTCTGTCCTGTCCAACCAACTTGTTCTCACTAATGAGGACTTCTCTTGATGCAGAGGCTGCCAGGCGGGCCCTGCTCTACTCAGCTCCCTCTGTGCTGGCCCTGAAGCCAGTGGTTACCATGAGGCTACTATGGATTCTCTCTCAGTCTCATGTACTTCACTGTTTTTAGTATTTGCATGCCGGTAGGGAAAGAAACAAATGTTCAATTTAAGCAATTAAATAGCATGATTTATTCTCATACTTTCTAGTCATTATAGAATGTTTCCCTCTATCAGAGAATTCAGAAACAGGAAGCCAGTATGGGTAGAAATATTCAAGGAATATTTCAGAGAAGGTTTACCTTGGGAGAAAGGTTGAAGGCTCAGTTTTATATAGAAATCATTAGAACGGAAAAGAAGAGTGCCAAGGTTTTTAATAGAATTGAAAGCAAAAGCTCTCTCAGAAAATGGTCAAATGGTAGCAAGTGACACATTTATATGTATCTGTACCTTCTCACGTATATTGTCATATTATTTTCCATATTCTATATTTGGCTTAATCTCTAAACTGCTACTTAGAATTTTCTTTTTATTTTATTTTGTTAATTTTTTTTACAGGCAGAGTTAGAGAGAGAGAGAGAGAGAGACAAAGGTCTTCCTTTTCCGTTGGTTCACCCCCCAGATGGCCACTACATCCAGCGCACTGCACCGATCCAAAGCCAGGAGCCAGGTGCTTCCTCCTGGTCTCCCATGCGGGTGCACGGCCCAAACACTTGGGCCATCCTCCACTGCACTCCCGGGCCACAGCAGAGAGCTGGACTGGAAGAGGAGCAACCAGGACAGAATCCGGCGCCCCAACCAGGACTAGAACCTGGGGTGCCAGCACCGCAGGCAGATGATTAGCCTAGTGAGCCACAGTGCCGGCCAGAATTTTCTAACATTTAAATTATTTTAGGCTTCATACTGTAACGTTGGGACTACTTTGCTCATAATTTCTTGTGAAACACAAAACTTATTCAATGTTACTTACATTCTTCTGACTGTGTAATACTTAGTAGAAGCATGCACTTTCCAATGTGGAAAAGAGTTTAGAAATAAAGAAACCTTCCTGTCCTCCCGTCCATCTCTCAACTCTACAGAAGGGGAAGATTGTTCCAGAGAAGTGGTGCCCCAAGCCAAAGGCCCAGCCTCCATGAGTCCATACTAGAATCCACATTTCCTGTTTAGACCTTCTGATTCTCTTGTCTACCCCCTTAGAGGTCCAACACAGGTTCCAAACGCATTGTTTTGTTATTCAGGATTTCCCAGAGCAAAAGATGTTGTGTTCTATAAGTACTAGATTGGCTTGCTACGGTCAGTACCAGGCCACTTAACGTAGACCTTGAGGTCTCACTGAGTAATTAGGCTTTGCAAAAGAAAGATGAGCAGTGAGTTCATTCTTTAAATAGTTGTTATTTGTGGGCAGCTATTTTATTTCTTAGACATTGGTAAATAGAAAAATTTGAGTCTTAGAAGAATAATTCTCTAGGTCACTATTATAGCAGAATTTAAGAAAGATGAGAAGTATTATATAAGTTTTAGAAATCTCATTAAGCTTTAGATAAAATTAGTAAAGCTCCAGATGAGAATTAATAAAGCACAGTGGCATAAGAGCATGTGCATTTTTCCTGAGCCATTTTAAAACAATTTATTTTATTGTGCTATGTACGTCCTCATGAGAAAGAAAGCTTATATTCTCTGTGTTCAAATGTACTTCCTTATATAGGTTAAATGTTTTAGCATGATATGAGTCAAAAAAAGTTTTATTAAAAGGTCCTAAATGTATTCCTATTAAAGAGGCATTTTGTGTTCGGGTAGCTATCCCAGGTAACCAGATGCTGTGGTAAGAGCTGTTCCCATCCCTTACTTTCAGCTGTCAGGCAGCATGCAGGAGGGTAATGCAGAAGCCGACTGTCAGAGGAGCATCAGGTCCCAACAATCCATCTGCAAGGTCAAATGCTGGGTTGCAGGAGACTGTAATTAAGCTTATCTGCGATGATCAGGCTTCCTGCGTTTTATTAAATGGGAATGTGAAATCGCTCTTGAATCCTCTTTGTTTCACTTTAGGGTTTATACTCTAATAAAATAATACAATAGTTGACAGAGTTGTGGAAAATGTCTTCCAAGTTAGAAACTCATATCTTGAATGAACATTTTATAAACTATTATGAAAATTCTAAGTAACACGCACATATTCAGTAGATAAGAAACTACCCAGTTCTAATGCTTTATTCAGTAAATATTAAAACCATTATATTATAACATTTATTATTACAATGTTTTTCGCTGAACCTGAATGGAAATAATATGTCTTATATTTGTATTGAAAAATCTTTTATGGGCACTGTTTTGAGTCATCATTTGTTTTTAGATACAAGAGCTTTGTTTCAGATATTCAATTTTTGTATACATCTACATCAAATAAAAGTGTAATTCCTGTCTTTACAAGCTTTATTGAAAAAAAGTTCTATTAGGCATTTGTTTCAAAAATTGATCCATTTTGCTACAATGAAAATCTGCTGTAACAGGTACTCCTGGTCTACAATGATGTTCACAAATATTTTAGGTAAAACCTCTTGCCTGGTATATTAATCTAAGCCACTCATTTTGGTACTGTATATTTTCAAAAGATTTTTAAACCATCTGTATTTTGTAACAAGTTATAATTTGTGGACTTTCATCTGCTTAGTCTTTAAGTTTTTCTATAACTTCCAAACATTTCATTAATTACCAGTGTAGTGAGAGATATTCCCCATTGTGTCCTTCTCATTTTGTCACATCTCTTGCTGACTTTGCCATAGCATCATGAGGCCATTTACCAAATATTGCAGTAGTTTTCTTTTGTCATTAAAAATGGTCACCATCATAAACCATTTATTCTTAAAACCACTTGCAACATTTATCATTTTCCCACCATTTTGAATATTTTAATTATTTCCTCTCTTTGCATTTACATCAAATACACTTTCCTCATCCTATTGCTCTTACGCTAAAAAATAAGACGAGTTTTTAAATGCTTATAAGGAGAAACGAAAATGACTATGCACAACAGTTCATATCTGACTTTCCTCAGCAGAAAAGTGCCCTGAAGTGTAGTTTGGATCACAGAGATTCTCTTAAGCGTAGCTTATAATATATCTGTTGTATTTGCTTCTACACTTTCATCTGTATTAAACAGAAAACATAAGTTTATTTTTTCCATAGAACAAGAAACTTCAAACCATTGCTTACTCCTTACTGTGCCAAGGACACTTGTTTCAGTTAAGAAATAATCAACTGTAATTCACAGATGTTCCTAAATGATAGTGAAGTTGCAAAAGTTATTGAAAAAATAACCATACGGAGGCTTCTCTCACATTCATGTTAAAAGACTGAAGGTGGCTGTCACTTGGTTGGAGAAAGTAATTTCACAATTGTCAGAATCCTGGATTTCTTTATCTTATTGCACCACAAACCCTGACATGGTTTCTTTTTTATGGTTCGAAACTGCTGCAGAAGCTCCAGTCATTATGTCTGTATTCCAGTCAGCAGAAAGGAAGAGGGCAAAGGGCTTGATCCTTTGCTTTAAGACTACTTCTCAGAAGTTGCATACAACAAACCCCAATGTATACCATTGCTAGGCATTAGTCAAACAGCCACACCTCACTGCAAGAAAAGCTGGGAGTTCTTCTGGATGTGTCCAGAGTTCTATTTATGGGGAAGGCACAGAAAATTGATACTAGGGGACAATCAAGTGTTCCTGCCATAATAATTATATCAAAAACATTTTCAAGGAAGAAATAAGCATTTAACTCCAAATTTCTAATCCCTTCATGAGCCACAGATCCTCTTTAAAACTCTTTTATAAACATGCTGGCAGTTGCAAAATCCTAACAGTGTCTAATAATCATGAGTCAATCATAGTGTCCAAGTGAGCTGGCACTTGAGGTGCCTCAGCTGCCAATGTCACTGGCTGTGGATTCATGGCTCCAGGAGATTCACCTGGCACAGGTGAGCATCGAGGGCCACTCCCAGGAGTGGATTATACCTTCTGCTTTTGTGTACCCCCACAGAGCTCAGCCCTCAGCCTGGCAGGAAGAAAGGACAAAGCCAGCCTTTTGTGTCATCAGGGCATCAGGAACATCACAGAAGCGTCACACAGGAAGATCTCAGAGTCTATCCAGCCCAATAGTTTCATTTTAGATGAAGGGAATAGAACAACTTTTGGCAAGGCCTGGGTATATAAAGCATAGCATAAAGTTCTTTAATCCTGGATGATTCTGAGGCCAGAGTGTTGGTAGAGCAGGCGGGACTCGAATCGGTGTCCCTATGTGATGCTGGCACCGCAAACGGGGGATTAACGTACTGCGCCACAGTGCCAGCTCCTAAGTTTGTTTTTTTTTTTTTTTTTAAAGTATGTGTAAAAAGATCTTGCAATGATTGTCAGTAAAGTGTGGGTGAGGAGATCTTTTCTCTTGCAAGAGAAGCATAGTAACAGTATCATGCACTAAGCGCTTACCAGGTGCCTGTAGTTGTCAAGTATCATTAAGGTTTTCTTTTTTTTTCACTTTTTTTTCAACTTTTACTTAATAAATATAAATTTCCAAAGTACAACTTTTGAATTATATTGGCTTTTCCCCCCATAACCTCCCTCCCACCCTCAACCATCCCATCTCCCACTCCCTCTCCCATCCATTAAGGTTTTCATTTTAAATGCCAGAGCTGTAATTTTGCCTTAGGTCTCCTCCACAACAAAATTGTGGGAAAGATGAAATTTGTTTTCAGTGCTACTTCACCTTTCTAAAGTCCCTTTTCCTTTTGATTCCACTCTACTAGATGTGCCCTTGTTCTAACCTGACGCATTTGCTCCCCAAGACATCTCTCCTTGGATGGGGCTAGAGTGGTTTGCCATGGCAGCAAGTGATGCTGTGGGCAAGTCTGACATCAAGGTGACCTCCTCTTAGAGTACATTATCTCTGGTCTTTTGAGTAGACTAAGACAAGCCCAATACATTTGAATGTAAAAGAAATTTTCAAGGTTTTCACTGATTTGCAAATGCTTATAAATTATTTTCCCAGGAAAATATTAGAGTTATCCCTGTACCCTGAGGTTGTCTGCTTCTCTTTAGGTCACTATCTACTGAATCTCTTTAAGGAAGAAATCATTATTTATGATTCTGCCTAATACACAGTTTGAATTGACCTCTTGGTCATTTCTCATCACCCGCAACCCATATTGCTCTCCTATCTTCCATGTCTCCTGGCTAAGTCAACTTTGCTTTTTAGGAGGAGAGGCGTCTTTGTTCTCCTTATGTGACATCTACAAGCAGGTTATTAATCTCTATTTTATCCATCTAATGAATAAGAGATTTCAAAGGAAGACTTTTTCAAGCAGTTACTGGACTATGGGAGGTTAGCAGCTGAAGAAGAAACTACAGCATTGGGGAACTGGAACAAATTAGTAATGAAAGAGGCACAACACTCTGGGGCAGAGCATCGCCATGGAGGCCTCCATGAAGCCTTGGAATCCCACAAGATCAGCCATCTGGGACTTTGTCCATCACTCTATACTTGAGGCAAAAATTGCTAATTTCCCATAAACTTCTAAAATGTTAAGAAACCATAGGAAATGGGGACTAAAACATGAATTGGGAGATGTAATTTGCTACCTTGCTCTGGTTGGTGAGTCCTCTACAATAAGCAGCGGAGACTGGAACACAACCACAGCCTGTTTATGTAGATGTGTTAATTTCCTCCATGAAATTCCTATCAGTGGCTCTGATACAGATTATCATTTCAAGCTCAGCAGCCTACATATAAGGGCTCTTCATGATTCAGCCTACATATAAGTGTTCTGCAGAAAATTGAATTAAATATAATTTTATTTGGGTCCAAAAAATGAAATCTGTGCATAGTTTTTTCTTTTCTTTTCTTTTCTTTTTTCGACAGAGTGGACACTGAGAGAGAGAAAGAGAGAGAGAAAGGTCTTCCTTTACCATTGGTTCACACTCCAATGGCCACTGCAGCCAGCGAGATGCGGCCGGCGCAACACGCTGATCCGAAGCCAGGAGCCAGGTGCTTCTCCTGGTCTCCCATGTGGGTGCAGGGCCCAAGGACTTGGGCCATCCTCCACTTCACTCCCGGGCCAAGGCAGAGAGCTGGCCTGGAAGAGGAGCGACCGGGACAGAATCCGGCACCCCGACAGGGACTAGAACTCGGTGTGCCGGAGCTGCAGGCGGAGGATTAGCCTATTGAGTCACGGCGCCGCCTAGTTTTTTCTTAATAACTGTTTTCTATAAATTTTTTGAACAACTCTATTACTTCTTGAGGTAGAAGTGATATTCTTGCTGAGGGGTTTATAAAATAAAGATTATCCTGTTTGATTCTCAGCCTTCTGGAATTTGCAGAATTACATGATGAAGACAGAAGTTAGTTCCTAAACCCCAGTGAAGCATCTTCTTATTGTAGCCAGTACCTTTGAAATAAAAATAAATATTCAATAAACACTTTTGACAGATGAATATGTCCAATGCCTGTCCCTTGCCTTCAATCAGGAGGCATGTTTTGGAGTCCAATGAAGATGCTCTAGGAACAATATGAGGGCATTTTCAATTTACTACATTAAGAAATCTGGTGAAGTGGAATGGATACTATGAGAAACAGTGACCTGATCAGCCCTTG